GAGTGGAAGTGGTTAATAGACCATGCCATACCAGGACAAGTACTTGAAGAGTTGCTAATATTATCTGCAAAATAACCAATAATTACAATTGTATTGAAAAAGAAGTATCAGTATAAGAAGGGCAGAAATACACTGAATGCAAAGTAATGCTACTGAAAAACTTCCAAAAAGAAGCCTCAAGGTACCTAAAAATATATATGATCAAACAAAAATTCCTATTCCAGGAGACCCTAGACACCAAGCCAATGAGAAACTAACAGAAAAAGAACTAAATGTGGACTCAACCAGAATAGGAAATTTGTAAATACTCAAGAAAAATAATTCAAACAAAGGAGGAGGTGATCAGTGGCGCACAAAAACATCTTTATTATAGACAAAATTAAACGTATAAAACAAACACAAAAAATAGTACCACACTCCACAGTTCCCAAGTAGGTAAATCCCCATCAGGGGAAAACTCATTAGTAGAAAGATAATTGTATGGATGACTCATATGTAAGACTCATTTGTAAGCTATAACATGTTCCATGCAGGAAAGAGTGCAAAGGCATAATAACAAAAAAACTCCTATGCTCAGAATTGAGAAGCCATAAGCACCAGGATAAACCCAGCACCAGACCAATCATACAATAAAGCTGATGTAAATATTAGTGTAATACAGGGAGGGATACAGGAAGGATAGCATACACTATACACCAAGGCATAAAAATCACAACAGCAACTGATCCTAATTGTATGACCACATGTAGTTCAGAGGAGGATGTAAATAATGTTATATGAAAAGCCTTTGACTCTCTCAGGTGCCAAGCTGTAGGGCACCATCCCGGGGAGATCCGAACAGGCCACTGTAAATTTCCCTCATACATGATCAGGTCAAGGACTAAGCTGGTGTATTGATGGATGTTCTTGAGAGTAGGTATGCTCTAGTAGTTGTTTTAGATGGAAAGTGCACTCCCTTGAGGGGATGTAATATGTAGCCGCCGTAGATAAACTAGCAGCGGGATTTGCCTCAAATTGAAGGTAATTAGTATAGTCAGTAGACACACAGAGTATGCAATAACTTCTCAATTAAAGGAATGGCATTAGTTGAAGAGAGGCACATTCCCTTTGATACACGGAGGTGCACATGATGAGACTTGTAAGTAATCATAGTAGGCAACAACTTGTCAATACACAAATTCTGGCAATTGAACAAGTTCAATTAAAAAATATATACCTTCACAAGAGAAACAGACCCCTGAGAGACAACAGGGAATAAGTGGAAGATGTGAGATGGAAAACAGTATCGGAGAGTGCTCCAGGTTATCTCTAGGAATGGCTAATATCAGCCAAAATATAGAAGATCGAGATATCGAAAAAATAGTGAATTCAGAGAATGTAGAAGAACAAGAGAAGACCTCACAATTGCCCACTAAAATAGAAATAGCAGAAATGTTTAAAGGACTAGAAAGATCCATAAAACAGGAAATGGCGAAATTACATAAAGATCTGGGACATGTATTATCAAGGGTGGAGGAGATGGAAGAAAAAATGGATAAACATTCCCAAGTCATACTGAATTTAGAAAAATGGATGATGGAAATGAGAAAAGAACAGAGGAATCTGCTATATAAATTGGAAGACCAGGAGACTAGGGATCGAAGATGTAATCTAAGGATACGAGGTCTGCCAGAGATCTCTCAAGGAGAAGATTTGATGGAAATAATAGGGAAAATGCTTGATATAGTAATGGACAGATCTGCAACAGAGCCTCTCAAAATTGATTGAGTATACGGAATTGGAAGATTCCAGCAAGAAGGTAGAAAGGAAAATCCGAGAGATGTGATTGTTCAATTCCATTACTACCAACATAAAGAAAAGCTTTGGAAGAAGATAAAAGGAAGAGCAGCAATAAAATATGGAGAAATAAAACTACAGATCTTCGACAGATTTAGCAGCTGAAACTTTAATAAGAAGGAGAACATTGAAACCATTGCTAGAACAAATAAGAAAGCAGAACGTTCGATCGGATGGAAAACCAAGACTGAGGTTCCCAGAAGACTTGAGAGATGTTTGTGAAAGTCTTGAGTTGCAGAAAATAGTTATTCCTGGTTGGGAGGAAGGGGAGAGGGAGATGGGGGGTATAGAAAAATAGGGGTGGCAGGTAGCTCCTAGGGGGAATAGATAGAAAAAATAATAATGGGAGGGGAGGAGAAGAAGGAGAAGTGGTGTTTTTTTTTTTGCTCCCCCTTCCGCACCATGGATCCCACATTTGTATTGGTGTGGAGGGGGAGGGGATTAATAATTTTTTTTTCTTTCTCCCCCTTCTGCACCATGGTCCCCATATTTGTATTGGTGTGGAGGGGGGGAGGAAATTTCTTTTTTTTTCTTCATCCCCCTCTCTTTTACATCTCCCCTGATTCCTAGAATATAGCGGGATATGGGAGATGGGACATGCAAAATGGAGAGGTGTGCATGGTCAGAGCTCCACCTTAAGGTTGAAGCAAAGGTGTAATTAGGACCACAAATGATTCGTAGGTAAAGTATAAGCCTAAAGGAGGTTATGGAGGAGAAGTTATATACCCGTTCGGAGTGTGGGAAATGTTTTTCAGAGAAGCCCTTTTCTTCATATATGACAGAGATCTCATACGGTGGAAAAGCCGTATTGGGGATAAGAGGGTGAGTGAGAGCAGCAAAAGTACTGAGATTAATATATTGCATGGGAACTGAACTGTATGTATTGAACTATATGTTTAAACTGAGGAGGGGTTTACCCAGGGGGTCTTAGAGGAAAATCAGAAGGAGGACAATGTAAAACAGATAAAGACCTAGAAGAATAGGACCTGAGTAGATGAGTTCGGGAGTGGGGGGAGAGAAAAAGGAAGAAAAGAACTGAGAGGGGGATACCCATGGAAGACAACCCATTTTGATATCAAATCAAAAATAGATCCCCTCCCAAAAAAAACAGAACTGTGGAAAATGTAAATAGTCCCTGACAGCATGAAAAACAAAGTATCAAAGGGAGGAGGGCCTAAGGCTTCCCAAACAGGGTCAATTAAAAATATATACCCTCACAGGAGAAACAGACTCCAGAGAGACAACAGGGAATAAGTGTAAGAGGTGAGAGGGAAAACAGCGGGGAATGTTCCAGACTATCCCTGGGAATAGCTAACAGTAGTCAACATATGGAAGAAGAAGTGGATATGGATAAAGTAGAAGAACAAGAGGAGAGCTCACAGATGCCTATTAAAGCAGAAATAGAAGAAATGTTTAAAGGACTTGAAAGATCCCTAAAACAGGAACTGGCAAAATTACACAAAGATCTGGGGCAAATATTATCAAGGGTGGAGGAGACGGAAGAAAAACTAGATAAACATGCCCAAATTATACAGAAATTAGAAAAACGGATGATGGAAATGAGAAAAGAACAAAGAAATCTGTTATATAAATTGGAAGACCAGGAGAATAGGGATAGGAGATGCAATCTAAAGATATGAGGCCTTCCAGAGATCTCCCAAGGAGAAGATTTGATGGGAATAATAACGAGAATGCTGAATACTATAATAGATAGAACTATAACAGAGCCTCTCAAAATGGAGGGAGTATATAGAATAGGAAAATACATACAAGAAGATAGAAAGGAAAAGCCAAGAGATGTAATGGTGCAATTCCATAATTTTCGGGATAAAGAAGAGCTTGGAAGAAGATAAAAGGAAGAGCAATAATAAAATATGGAGAAATAAATATACAGATCTTTGCTGATTTAGCAGCGGAAACATTAATAAGAATGAGAACTTTGAAACTGTTACTGGAACAGATGAGAAAACTGAATGTTCGATACAGCTGGGGGTTTCCAGCATGTTTGATCGGATGGCGAAATGGACGTTCAGCAAGACTGAGATTCCCCGAAGATCTGAGAGACTTTTGTGAGAGACTTGATATACAGAAAATAAATATCCCTGGTTGGGAGGAAGAAGAAGGAGAAATGTGGGCTATGGAAAATGAGGGGAGGCAGGTAGCTCTAAGGAAAAATAGAGAGTAGGAATAGTAAATAGGAATAAGATGGGAGGGAGGGGGGGTTCTCTCCCCTTTTTTTTCTCTCTCTTTCCCTCCATTTCTGCCTCTCTCTTATGATCTTTGAAGTTTACTAGAGTATGGCAGTACACAGAGGATGAGACACGCTTATTGGAGAAAAGTTCATGGTCAGAGCTTCACCTTAAAAGCTGAATCAAAGCTGGGGTTAGGACCACAAATGATTCATAGGCAAAATGTAAGTCTAAAGGGAGATGGGGGTGGGGGGCAAGAGGAGTGGGAGGGAGGAGGAGTGGAGGAGGGACGGGAGGGTGGGTGGGTGGTAGGAGGGTATGGGGAGGGGGGATAGGTAGTTTAAGACTCTGAGAAATAGTGAGAGAAACATCAGTCTGGAGAAATCCTAGAGATCAATGGGGAAGATGTGGAAGAAAGAGGAAGAGAGAAGAGATGGGGAAGATAGAGGTGTGGAGAGAAGAATGGAAGAGATTCACTTTGTGACTTATAATGTTAAAGGGTTAAATAGCCCTGGGAAGAGATTTGGGATTTTTAAAGAAATTCAACATAGATTTTCTTCAGTGGTTTTTTTTTTTTTTACAGGGGACACATTTGGTGCAAGAATCAAATGTGAAATTAAATTCCAGATATTATCCAATGTGGTTTTATGCAGATTCCCCAATTAAACATGCCAAGGGAGAGGCAATAGGTTTTGCAAAACATATAAGGTTTAAGCTGGAAGACAGATTGGTAGATCCAGAAGGGAGATTTCTGTTTCTGAAGGGAAAATTACAGGAAATAGACTGTACCAGGGCTGGACTGGCCATTTGGAAACTCGGGTACTGCCCGAGGGCCCAGGGTTAGTAGGGGGCCCCATGAGATGCCCCTGGTACCTTTTTCATAGGCTTTTTTGAGTTTGGGCAAGGACACAGGGGCCCCATGATCCCCTATTGCCCGGCGGCCCCATGAGTTGTCAGTCTTCCCCTGGACTGTACCTTTGCAAATATTTATTGCCAGAATAAAAAAAAACCGAAGGTATTCATAAAAAATACTCTGAGGAAGTTAATAGATTTCAAAAAAGGCAATTTAATTGTGGCAGGTGATTTCAATCTCTGCATGGATCCCCAGATGGATATGATGTCCCGTGTGCAGAGAGATGGTAGTAGGTTGATATTGGTTGACATTGATACCAATGTCAACTTAGATATATGGAGAATTAAGCACATGAAGGACAGAGACTATACGTTTTATTCTCATGCACATGAGGTGTATTCAAGACTGGATTATATATTGCTGGACCATCGACTTATCGAGTCTCTAGTCAAAGTAAAAATAGAAGTGATGTCAATATCATACTATGCCCCTGTCACAATGCAATTATTATGGGGGAATGAGCAGATCAGGGGGAAATTATGGAGGTTAAATGAGACACTTCTCCAGGATTCAGAGGTGGATCAAAGAATAAAAAAAGAAATAGAGCAATTTTTGAGGAAAATGATTCTGGGGAAGTGTCCGTAGCAACAGTGTGGGAGGCTCATAAGGCCTATATTAGAGGAATCCTGATAGCGATTGGAGCAAAAAAAAGAGGGAAAGAAGAGAAAAAAAATATAAACACTCTTCTTAGTGAACTCTGTGAGTTAGAGCAGATACATAAACATAAAGTATCAAAAGAAATTATGCAGAGGGTAATAAATAAAAGAGAAGAATTAAATAAATATCTGGAGGAAGAGAAGAGAAGAGTGTTCAATAAAATGATAAGTGAGAGATACAGATGGGGAGATAAGCCAGGAAAGTATTTAATGAGGGCTCGGAGAAAAAAAAAAAATCTAGGAACTATATAGAGAAAATAAGAGACCACAAAGGAGAATTAATGTATTCAACTAAAGATATAGCTAAAGTGTTTAAAGAATATTATAATAAGCTATATAATATTATCCCCCACAGCTCCACAAGGAAAGATGAAGTAGGAAAAATAGAAAAAAGGCAGGGTTACCAAAATTAAGTGAGGAGCAGTTAAAATCCCTAGAATCAGCAATAATGCAGGAGGAAATACACTTAGCATTAAAGAGCACTATAGCTGGGAAAAGTCCAGGACCTGATGGATATACAGTGAGATATTATAAAAAATATAAATATTTATTAGTAACTAAAATGAGGATACATATGAATGCATTGAGAGGAGAGATGGAAATGAGGAGGGAATCCTTACAAGCCCATGTAGTTCTCATTCATAAGGAAGGTAAAGATGATACTCACTGTTCAAGTTACAGACCGTTTTCATTATTAAGCACAGATACCAAACTATATGAAAAAGTTCTGGCAAACAGGTTGAAAGACCTAATGTCAGAATGGATACACATAGACCAAGTAGGCTTTGTCCCAGGGAGAGAGGGTAGAGATAATGGACTGAGATCTCTGTTTCTCATACAAAAAAGTAGGAAAGAGAAAATCCCTGAGGTGGTACTCTCTATCGATGCTGAAAAAAAAACATAATGAAACAGATAGCCGTACATTCCCACAATACAGTATTAAGAAGTAGCAACCACATTTCAAATACATGTGTATAAGAAGCTAGTATGACATTGGTGCAGGGGCGGACTGACTATTTGGAAACTCGGGCACTGCCCGAGGACCCGGGGTCAGTAGGGGGCCCCATGACATGCCCCTGGTACCTTTTTCATAGGCTTTTTTGAGTTTGAGCAAGGACACAGGGGCCCCATGATCCCCTATTGCCCGGGGGCCCCATGAGTTGTCAATCCGCCCCTGCATTGGTGATACATATAAAACAAAAATTGCAAGTCAATACCCCACAGAGCATATATAGTGCTACTCATGCCCCTCTACTTACATACTTACATAACCCTCTACTTACATAAGTGGTGTCAGGAGCGTGTAAAATGCTCCTGTTCTGTGACAGCTGCTGGTCTTATTCCAGCAACCTAGTTTTAGCTATGATGCATCCCTGTCTATCTGTTCAACTACAAGGTGATTGATGTGGCCAGTCTTTGGGTGGAGACCAAATCTGATTTAAGCTAGCCAAGCTTGCAGTTTCATGCTTGTGATAGCGCTGGTTACATGTGCTTCAGGCTCCTTGTTTGTCTGTCCTGCTCTGCTGTCTGGATTCCCTCGTTGACAACCTCAGAACAGACATCGATTACTTTCTGAAATCTACCTGACTTTTGATCTGGATTACCATTGGCCTTCTCTGCCTGTCTGCCAACCGCAAGTACCTGTTTGTTTTGCTCAATTCGTGCCTGCCTCAGGGTGGTGGCCAGGCACTATAGCATTGTGTATAAGTCCTGGGAGCTACAGAGTACCGGTAGGCCTGCTTGCCTTATGGGAAAGGAGACTGCTATTGATGAAGAACACCAAAGCCAGCTATACCATGACAAATGAGTGCAATAAAACGTGCCTTCACATAGAGTGCAGCAACTATTCACACCAGTCAGTTAAACATGTCAATCATCGTATGGTATATACCTTCACCTGCAATCTTAACATTGAAGTATCTGCATGGACACTAAGGCTAAGGGAGCTAGGCCAGGATTCCATAGCTTGGTAAATTTGCACAGGGTACAGTGTTGTTGCTCTTTCAGCAGAAGTTTACCTGTATTCACCAATCCTCATATGGAAGGGCTAGAGGAGATAGCCATTTTGACTTAATGCATTTACAGGCCAGAAATATCAGTCTAATGTAACAATGGAGGTCCTAGCTTGTGGAGAAAAACCTTCCTTATTCAAAAACCCTAGTGCACATGTTAGAGGGTCATTGTGTAGGTTTGTCTGAAATACTCGGTTAATGGTATCAATGACAAGGTGCCAACAGCACACCAGCTTGGGGCATTTCCAAAGTATGTGAAGAAGATCTGCAGGGGATCCTCCACATCTAGGACAATATGGAATCCTCCTATGGTGTAATTGGTACAACGTTTGTGGCTTTCTATACACCCTGTGTATGACCAATAGTTGTGACAATCTTTACATAGATAATGGAAACAACATAGGGACTTGCTCTAACACAGCTTGCCAAATTTGAAAATACTGCAAATAATCTTCTACTTTGGTGTGAACCCAGACCCATAGGTATTTAAAAGAGGCAACTATTTTAATCTGCCTTGCACAGTGGGGAAGTATCACTTTTTGGGAGTTTAAAGGTAGGAGCACAGATTTGTCCCAATTAATTATGAATTCGGAAAAGGATCCGAATGTTGATATGGTAGACATATGGGAGGATAAGAATGTATTGGTGTCCACCAGTAATAGTAAAGTGTCATCAGCATAAAGGGATAAAGGCAAGCAAATTGAAAAGTAGAGACACTTTAGTTCTAGGTGTAGCTTTGTTTTTGTTTGGGTAGTCTTCTCTTTTTTCTGTCTTCAATTTTTATATATATTTATATTCATGCATTGCTTTTTGTTGAATATATTTTTTCTGGACACCTTCTGTGGGGGACAGATGTAGCCCTAAGAGGATAGGCAGATGTATACCCAGTGTCAGGTGGTCTTTCAGGAAGAGCACCAAGGAGGCGTTCAGGTCCCTTGGCTGTTGCTGCAGTAGGCAGAGCTGTACACCAATATGGGTGGTTCTGCCCCAGTCCTGTTGTGGCTTCAGCATTCCCCCCTCCTGTGGTATGGGTTAAAAGGGACAATGGTGGCACCAGGTTGGTGTGATGTCCTCATAGGATGCAGATGTACTGTATCTGCTACTGGACCTTGGCTTACTCACCTCCTGGTGGGATGATCCTGAGGATTGTGACCTGGTACTGATGCAGAGCAAAACCCATATCCACCATCAGGAGCTCTGGTGAACACTGGTTAGCACTTAGACTCTACACCTCAGATTAGCCACTGTCATCACTAAAATGACCTGCTTCCACACTTATCCAGCTGATCGGTGGGTGCCTCGCTACTGCTATAGCTGCTGGTCTCTGAGTCTGAATCCAGATTATGACAACCCTTTGCATGTACCTCTTTTTCCTTGGGTGGCAGGGGATCCTACAGGAGAAATTAACAGTGTGTGATAATCACCTATGGCTGACTGAGCTTGAAATTTGTATTCCTCATGTAAGTACTGGATAATTATGAAACGTGATAGCTTTATAGTGTGATGGGTATAACTGAGAAGTTTGTGTATTTTATATACCCACTCCTTCCCCTGAGGAAGAGTTGAAATGGATTGGGCCATCCACAAGACTAACACCAAATACCTTACAAGATCTATTAGTATTCATGATGTTTTATGGAATATAGAGTGTGGAGATATGTATTCTGTTGTGTGAGAATTAGGCACCCTTTGTCAGCCCCTAATTGTTTTATGTGTTTATTTATGAATTTATACAGTACATACAAACTGTATGATGTAGATATTAGCTTGTGTATGGTTGCATCCCAAAATTCTCCTCCACACTTCAAATGATTTTGTTAGGTTATATCATTTGGGATGTTGGCTGATTGGACACAGCTGATCACATAGATTGGTGATTAGCTGTGTCCGCACAGGAGCGGCGTGACCAGGATGACGTGGTATGACGTCCACTCAGAGGGATAAATGGCCTGCCCAGCCATCAGTCTGCTGTTGGCCAGCAGGAACCAGTTAAATTATTATTTTATTATTTTACTTTTTTATATTATTTTGTATATTTTATGTATAAACCTTTGCTTTAGAAAAGTTATCTCTCTCCCTCTCTCTCTCTCTTAGTTTTCATTGATAATGCACTTCACTCCTGACAGTTGAGTTGAATCTGCTATTATAAATGCTCATAGAGTTCTGTGCAGATTCAAAAGCTCAGATTTATATTTCAAACAGAATACCCTTTTGATCATGTTTGGAGTATATAGATAAAACAAGCAATGTGTTAATAATAAAGAAAGGTGCTATAACTTTTAAAATTCCAGACTAGACTCATTTTAAGGTGATTACCCTTAGCAACTTATAACTTGTTAAAAGTATTTATGATTCCAGCTAATCACAAATGAATTTTGAATGTTTCCAGATTTCTGTCAACTTATAAAGCAGAACTCTGGGCAAAAACTTCTTTACTTGTCCTTGTTGCTGATTTTCTACCTTCACCGAATATGT